ACTCAAAATTAATGGGAATCTCAGGGATAATGGACTTTATGATCAAGCACCAGAAAACAACACTATTGAGTGAAAGAAAACTTTGCTCTAAAAACTGTTACCACCCTTTCCAAAGATGAGGTAATATTAATTTTATTTTACAATTTTGCACTAAAGACGAAAGGCAGGAAGAAAGACCAAAATATGTCGTATTTTTCTTAATATAACCGAATTGATTATTGGAGCTTTCAATTTGAGATAAAGCTTACCAGGCTAGAAGGTAGGAAAATGATTTTTTATTGTAAACGTTTTTCACCTTTAGACAAAACTATGCAACTTGAATCTGTGCCACAAATACTCACCAGCAAAACTGTCTTGTATGAACCACAGAAGAATAAAAGCGTCATGCTAACTTAGATCAATTATTGAAAGCAAAATATACATAAAAAATTTTCCAGGACCCACTGAAGGTCGTCAAAGTATAAGCCGTCCACAATGCCGTAAATCCAATACATATTCCAAAGTTATGACAGAACAGCATTAAAATCAGGATCCTTTCTATGTGGATTTTTGGAAACTGTCAATTTCGCCTTCAAAAGACAGATTTTCTAAAGTATTTCCGATACGGAGGAAAAATTGTTTGATAAGTAAAAATAGCAATATCATACTGAGTCAGTGAATCCTTTGATTCAGAAAGTTTGCCAGGAATATGTATAGAGAAATAGAAGTGACATCACGCGGCGAAGAATTTATTTTTTCTCGTTCTATTTTCAATATTTATGTCTTATAAAATTTATGATGATCACTAAAATTTATGATAAGTAGATTTAAAGAAATCTTAATTTATTTATTTACGAGTTACACACTACGTATTATAATTTATTTTTTAGTAGGGATAATCAAATTATCTACATTTGTCATTTCCGTTTAATCAATAACGAGTTTCTTTGATTAGTAGAAAACAATTGCAATATCATGTTGAGTCGTTAATTCGTTTGTTCTTTTGAAATGAGATAACCGATAACAGTTTGAATAAAAAAACTCGAGTCTCCTCGACTCTAAATAATGTTGTCTTGGTAACAAGCTTCAAATTTATTGACAAGGATTTATTTATCAAAATTTTTCGAATTTCAATTTCCGAATTCTTCAGGTTAATGACTGTATATTACGCATTATTATCTCTATTATAAAGTTGCAATAAAAAAATTATCTGCATTTCACATTGCCGTTCATTCAAGATAGAGTTTCTTTGATCAGTAAATAACAATTGCAATAGCATGCTGAGTCAGTAATTCTTTTGTTCTCCTGAAATGGTAAAAAAATTTATCTGCATTTCACATTGCCGTTCATTCAAGATAGAGTTTCTTTGATCAGTAAATAACAATTGAATAGCAGCTGAGTCAGTTTCTTTCTCCTGAATTGATATGAACAGATAACAGTTTAAATGCGGAAGATGGCTTCTCCCAATTATAAAAAACTTATTTTCTCATCTAAAATTTGATATAATTAATACGTGAGAAATTTTTTACAAGTTTGGTGAATGAAACATCGTGAAACATCGTTCAGAATTTTGGTATGCATATGATTTTTGAGGCAATAAGGAAAAGAAATAAATGTGATGCGATTAATGCTAAAACTGTAATTTCCTCAGCATATCTAAACGTTATCATCACAATAAAAAAATCATTTTTGATTCTAATTTTTTATCTTAATATATTCTTCGTCATAACAAGAGAGCAATGGACGCGAAGGCTCAATAACTAACTACGAGATACTGAAACGTTGCAGGGTATCGAGTTCGCAAAACAAAATCGAAGTACAGCTGTGACGATGATTTAGCAAAACGACACAAATGGCCACTCTAACACAGTACATATAGTCAACGCGAAGTTTTCATTCAAGATCCATGCGCAAGTTTTTTTAATTTAAAATATTTTGATTTTTGAAATTTTGTGCAAAAAAATCAATATCATGCAGTTCATGCAACTTTTAAGACAGCCGACCCTTTATTGAATTTTATTGAAGCCAGATTTTTCTGATGTTAGCATTAAAAAGATTATGGCTTGATAAAATATTCGGTGACCGCATTAAGATATTTAAGTTTATATGGTTAAGTTTATATGGTTCCTCGCGGCTTCCCTTCCCCAGTTGAAATGTATGATCTTCTTTTTTCTGCGTATTTTTTGTAAAACTGACTTTTTTACTGGTTGGAAAAAATAAACTTAACTTCACTTGGCACAAATAACCTTGTTCTCCACTAAAATATATTTTAAAGCGTATCAGAATTTCTCATGTCCAAACTGTAAGAAAATAAACTTAAAACTTGACAGAATTTTTAAATATCATTATTCCTTGTGATCACAACGCAGAAAAATAGTCACAACAAAAAGATTTACCGACTCAGCATGTTATAGCAATTGTAATGGACTCTTATCAAAGAATTGGTAGTTGTACTGCCAATGCAATACTGCATCTCCAGCTGAATTTTTAGATAATGATGATGTTTCGAAATTTCTGTTTGGAATTGAATCATGAGTTTTATTTTACAAATACTATACTTTAACTTCCAATATAGTTCCTTTTATTTGAAACTTTTGTAAAATAAATGATCAACCGATAGATATACTACGTGTTCGTTATTCAGATTAGTAGGCGAGTGAAAGTTTTATATGTTGTTAATTAAAACTCAAAATTAATGGGAATCTCAGGAATAGTGGACTTTATGATCAAGCACAAGAAAACAACACTATTGAGTAAAAGAAAACTTTGCTCTAAAAACTGTTACCACCCTTTCCAAAGATGAGGTAATATTAATTTTATTTTACAATTTTGTACTAAAGACGAAAGGCAGGAGGAAAGACCAAAATATGTCGTATTTTTTTTAATATAACCGAGTTGATTATTTGAGCTTTCAATTTGATATAAAGCTTACCAGGCTAGAAGGTAGGAAAATGATTTTTTATTGTAAACGTTTTTCACCTTTAGACAAAACTATGCAACTTGAATCTGTGCCACAAATACTCACCAGCAAAACTGTCTTGTATGAACCACAGAAGAATAAAAGCGTCATGCTAACTTAGATCAATTATTGAAAGCAAAATCTACATGAAATTTTTTCCAGGACCCACTGAAGGTCGTCAAAGTATAAGCCGTCCACAATGCCGTAAATCCAATACATATTCCAAAGTTATGACAGAACAGCATTAAAATCAGGATCTTTCTATGTGGATTTTTGGAACTGTCAATTTCGCCTTCAAAAGACAGATTTTCTAAAGTATTTCCGATACGGAGAAACAATTGTTTGATAAGTAAAAATAGCAATATCATACTGAGTCAGTGAATCCTTTGATTCAGAAATTTGCCAGGAATATGTATGGAGAAAT